CCTTCCGCACCCTGCGAAGGTCCTTCGGGCAATCGATGTAGATGATGGCGGGATGGCACGACGAGGATGGTGGTGGTGAAGATGCGAATGAGGATGGTAGTGATCATGCTCATGACGATCGCGACGGTGACTTCAAAGGACGGCGAGGTGGTGGTGGCAACGGTGGCGATCCTGACGGCGGCGGAGAAGGATGGAAAAGGGTATGGTACCGTGCTCTCCCGATCGGTGGCCATCAAAAATAGAGAAACAAAAACGGCATAAACATAATTGGTCGGAGGTCCGCGCGAATCTCTTGGATCGACGCTGGACCCCTCCCTCCCTGGCGCTCGGAGCGCGCCAGGGGCGGCGAGGGAGGCGCCGCCGAGGGGCCCAAACACCGATCCGAGGAATCAGCGCGGACCTCAAACTATCATTGCTTGCTCCCTGAGAAAAAAGGGGTACGGGATCTTGGCTCCGATCGGTGCCCACCGGAGTTCACGCTGCGGTCCTTCAGGGAGTCCCGCATCCGCACCGCCCTCTGGAACTCCAGGAGAGGAGAAAAGAAACCCAGGATACCCTGACGTAAAGCACCGCGCAGCGCGAGGAGAGAAGAAACCCAGGATACCCTGACGAAAAGCCTGTGGTTTCTTGATGCGCGCCCCCACGAGCGCCTGCGTGCACGAGGAAGGCTCGAGGAAGAGCCATAGAAGGACCTAAGGAATATCAAGCCCCTTTCTTACCCAAACTGTTCCTTATCTCAGCGCCTTGGCTGCACGGGGTCTCGCTCTCCCGATCGGGGAGTTCGCGCTGCGATATCCTTCAGGGAGTCCCGCATGCGCACCGCCCTCTGGAACTCTGGCGACTGCGAGCCCTCGCTCTGCGCCTCGGCTCGGGGGGGGGGGGGAGAGGAGTGAGGAGGAGGAGAGGAAGAGGAGTAGGAGAGGAGGAGGAGGAGAGGAGGAGGATGAGGAGGAGAGGGAGGAGCAGGAGGAAGGAGGAGAAAAGGAGGAGGAAAAAGGAGGCGGAGGCGAGGCGGCCGCGCAAGGCGGCTGGCGTCGGTGGAGGCGTTATGATCAGGTGCTGCTCCTGCGGGTCCGCTTCGGCTCCGGCCTGCGGCCTTGCGCGGCGAGTCGGCGGGCTTCGTGGGAGGCGGCCGTTGTGTGCTGTGCGTGCGTCAGGGGCGGGGTCTATCGTAGCCCGTCTTGCGGCCTGGTTGCGGGGTGTAGGCGGCTGCGTCCGTCTCTGTGTCGCTCGGCCGGCAGCTTCGGCGTCCGCGAGGCTGTCGGTCGGCGGCCTGCCGCCCACTTCCTGGCCGCCCCGTCCTGGTTTGTGCGGTCCGCTGCGATGCGCCGAGGCCTTGCGCGGCGCGCGGCCACGTTTTACGTTCGTCGCCTTCCGCCACGTTCCGCCGAGGAGGAGATGGCAACTCCTTCCATCCTCGAAGGCGAAGCCTTTTTTCTGGGGCGCCCCATATAGAAGGTTCACGGATGGAGAAGCAGGCTCTGTCGGGCCATCGCGCGCGGGCTCTTGCGGGTGGAGTGGATGAGGCCTTGGCCTCGCAAAGCGGGCTGCGAGCATACTCTGAGCGCCAAACATTGGCCAGGTATACCCAAAACTGTATGCGTAGAAAATCATGTCTCGAGCTCTGACACAGCAACACCGTTGGTAGCCAAGTTGAGTCTGGCGTTGTTGCTCACGTCGCAACTCTTGCGGGCAGATCGTTCAAGCACGCCGCTTGAAACCATTAAAAACGCGTACACCGTCGTCCCATCATATATGTTGCGATTGTACCACCGCCATAGAGGCGCAGAAATTGCTTGTTAGCTCCTCCTCCCTCCCTTCCTCCCTCCCTCCCTCCCTCCCTCCCTCCTCCTCAGCCTCCATTCCCGTTCCTCCTGCTCCTTCGTTACTCTTCCTCCCCCTGCCGTCTATACCATACCTCCTGATCAAGATTCCCCTCATGTCGTCCCATCCTCCCTGCCCCTCCATCCTTGCTCCTCGTCCTCGTCCTCCCTCCTCCTCCCCCACATCCACCATCACTACCACAATCAGCATAATTGCGTTATCGTTCCCATCACCCTCATCATCAGCATCATCATAATCATCATCATCATCAGCATCATCATCATCACCATCATCATCATCAGCAGCATCATCAGCAGCAGCATCGTCATCATCACCATCATCATCATCATCAGCATAATCATCGTCAGCATCATCATCATCATTTGCATCATCATCACCATCACATACATCAATCATCATCATCATCATTATCATCATCATCAGCATCATCATCAGCATCACCATCATCACCATCATCATCATCAAAACCATCATCAGCGCCATCATCATCATCGGCACAATCAGCATCATCATCATAATCATCATCACAATCATGATCACAATCACCATCAGCATCACCTGCGTCATCAACATCAGCATCACCATCATCGTTATCAGCATCGTCGCCATCAGCATCATCATCCTCATCCTCATCCTCATCATCCTCATCATCATCATCATCATCATCATCATCATTCGCACCATCATCATCATCGTCGTCACCACCATCAGCATCATCAGTATCATCACCAACATCAGCACCCCTCCCCGTCGTCGTCGCCGCCACCTCATCATCATCAGCAGCATCATCATCAGCAAAATCAGCATCAACATCATCATTAGCATAATCAGCATCAGCATCATCAGCATCATCGTATCATCATCATCATCATCATCATCATCATCATCATCATCATCATCATCATCATCATCATCATCATCATCATCATCATCCTCATCCTCATCATCATCACCATCACCATCACCATCGTCAGCAGCATCATCATCATCATCATCATTATCAGCATCATCACCATCATCATCATCATCAGCATCATCATAATCATCATGAGAACCAACATCGTCATCAGCAGCAGCATCCGTGTCACCATCACTATCACATGATGGTCATCATCCTCAACCTCATCCCCAGCATAATCATCAGCATCATCATCGTCAAAATCACCACCACGTCAATATCGTCGCCCGCAACCTCCGCATCATCGCCAGCGACTGCACAACGATCATAATCGCAATCATGAGGACAATCTTCACAATCACCATCTCAGCCACCACCTTCACCTAATTCTCCATAGCATGACTGGCAATACGATCCTCGTCATCACAATACAGCATCGTATGTCTTACCGCATCCACCATTGCACTACTCATCCGCCTTAGGCATTATGATTGGATTCCTCCTGCTCCTCCTCCTGATCATCGTCCTCCTTGTCTTGCTTACTCCTCCACCTCTCCCCCTCACCCTACTTCCCTCCCTCCCTGCGTCCCTCCCTCCCTCCCTCTCTCCTTCTCCTCTTCCTCCTCCTCCGCCTCCCTCCTCCGCCTTATCCCCCCCTCTCCCTCTCCCCCTCCTTCTGCGCACAGGGACTCTTGCGGTGCCCGTTCTTCTTCTTTTTTTTTTGGGGGGGGGGGCAGCCATGTGACGACAAGGGCGTGGACCATGCGCCCCCCGTGGCTACACGCATCCCAGACCCCCGACGTCGTGATTTCTTCATAACGTCGACCCCCAGAGGTCTCGACACTTTCCCAGGGATCGGCTTTTCGTCCCGAGCCGCTTTGCCCTGATGGTCCCGAGGCCCGGTGAGGGCCCCCGCGGGGCGAAGATAGGCAAAAACCCTCCGTCGTGATGCTGTCACAACTCGAGGGTGTCTGTGCCCCCGCCGTGGCTGCACGCATGGCTCGAGGGGCGGCGCAAGAGCCCCGAGGAACGACTCGGCCGCGGCCACGGCGCGGGGCCGGGAAGAGCCGAAGAGCCGGAGCGGCGGAGGAGCGAAGAGCCCGGAGCAGAGGGAGGAGGACCTCGGAGCAGGGGGAGGAGGAGGAGGAGGAGGAGGAGGAGGAGCAGGGGGAGGAGGAGGAGGAGGAGGAGGAGGAGGAGGAGGAGGAGGAGGAGGAGGAGGAGGAGGAGGAGAGGCGGAGAGGC